CCTGATGGTGGAATTGAACTCAGGACCTTCTTGCTGTGCGGCAACAGTGCTAACCACTGTGCCACCGTGCTGCCAAATGACTGTGTAAAAATGTATATTTTTAAATAAGCAATTACTTCTGTTGACCTTCATTGTCAAGTTCTTTATTTCCTTTGAGACCTTTTGCATCCATAAGATAACACATAAAGAGCAAATCTTAGTTTTTGATATGAAGTCAAGGCTTTTGTGCTACATTAAAAAAAGTGTAAATATGTTCTCAGATTGTGTTGTCTTCTTCAGAATGCAAAATGAGTGGAAATTATGGGTATGCGTATCATGGTTTCTGTGTTTTTCCTGGTTCTGCTTGGACAAGAACACCTTTGACCTCCTCTCGCAACATCCCAGCATTAATAACTGCAGACATCTGGAAAATGCAGCAGCAGATGAATAATAACGGGGCTATTTCCTGTAAAGTCTCCCTTGTCTTATAGCAGAACCATAGTTCCACTCGCTCTGGCTTTGGTAATTGCGGTGTCTGCCAGTTCCTGTTTCACCAGCTGCTTTCCTCCATCACAGAACTTAGAAGGCAACAGTTCTGATACTTTCACTTTTTCATTTAGCCTCATATGTTTTTGCAAAGACTATTTTGTATTAACCCTGTGGTTACATGTCAAGTTGCACCAATGTCTTGTGACATTGTGGGAAAGAATTTAAAATTAAGATATTATGAGCAAAAAACATGAAAATGCTTCCTCTTCTGGAAACAGGAGAGACAAAAAGCTTGTTTTACAGCATCCCAATTAATGATCTTCATGTATTCAAGTTAAAGGCCCCTACAATTATATTTTTTTTAAAAAAAAGGGGGGGGGGTAATACTTGAAACATGAATATACTAGAGCAACAATTTCTTTATTTTACATTTGGTTTGGTTAAAGTCTGAAATGGATTCTCTATATTTTATTTCAGGAAACAATCTCAGATTAAAAGACCAGCAGATTTCTTCAAAATTTCATTTTCTCCAGTGGCCTAACTTTGTTGGCAATTTAAACATTTATATTTCCATCACGTTTGTCAAACTCCACTTTCCACTGTCAGTTCAAACTCAGAGTTAAACGGTAGGATACATTTCTAATTTATTATCCCCAAATAGGTTGAAAGCCTGATTTTGAAACCAGAGAAACACAAATTAAGTGTGTAATCTTTTTAAAAGCTCAAGTAGAGTTTGAAATAGGAAGCTTACTGATAAGGGGTAGTACAGTCTATATGTGCGTGAGACACAGAGAGATATCAACATCAACATGTTTTGTGTAAAAAGATACAATTCCTCTATGTGACTCCCCCGAAAACAAAAAACTAGAACTGAAATATAATAATCAGTTAAGATTTTGGGTTTTAAGGGAATCTAAACTTTACATCCAGCTATGAGTGTTTTCTAAACTTTCAAATGAAAGAATCACAGAAACCTGTGAAAAGAAAAGAAAAATGGCAAACAGTTTCTTGTAGGTACTATTGGTAGTAGCAACTATTCATCCTCTCTTTATTTTATGTATGAATGGCCATAGGGCCATACAACTTTTCCTTCTTTTTATGATTAAGACAAGCTGAAAAACCTGTCAAGATATACTTAAATGTATGACTTCCTTCACATTTTTCAAAGCAGTCCAGGGTGCCCATTTGGAATTTTGGTTTTGTTCCTGGGCCTCAGAGTACTCAGACATTACTATCAGTGATTTAGTTGCAGTTTTTAACAGAGCTTAAATGTCTTTCATAGCCCTGAAATAAATGTATTGCTACTTACTTCTTTTGTTAACAATACCAGTACGTTTAGGTCACATGCATGTAAGCTAAGCGCTGTTTGGAGGATACCTCACATTTTTGTGGCAAATAGTAGAAAATAGTGTTAAATCTGTTGTGGCCTGACACTTCTGTTTTTCTTAAGGAAGTGAAAATATCCTTTATGTTCCTCCTTTTGCCTAGATGTTTTATGAACAGTAGTTGTACAAAAGCAAGTATTATGTGTGCAAAATATATATATGTGGAATTAAGTTATTAAGCTCCTGAGTGAATGTGAGATTTTGCCTCTTAAACACATCTCACCCACTATGAGGTTTTACAGTTTCACTCTCATATCATAGGTGCAAACTCAGAGGAAGCCCATATAGGTGCAAAAACAGTAAACGGAGAAGTGTTTCTCACTGTGTGACTTTGCCAACATCCTCACATCAAATGGTATTTGCGTACTTATTTGCATCTCATCCTCGACTCAGTTGAGTTGATCTGCTGCTGAGACTCGACTGTTAGTTGCTGCATTAAGGAAAAATGTGTTCGACATTTCCCCGCTGCTTCCCCCGCAGATCCTGCAGATCCTACAGAGTGAACGGTAAGACTGTTACTGTATCACAGCAGCAGATTTAAGTTATAGGCAGTAAAAACCACACAGGTCGAATGTGGCTGACACTTTTAACTGACAAAAATGTTACTATAAAAATCAGTTGAAGTCATTTAAATTGCAAAAGAGACACTTTGAATGTTTCTCAATTGCTGTTGCAATTTTGTATGAAATCATAGAGTGCCTTGAAGGGGAAGAACAATTGCCTTAGATCTGAAAAAACACCAGAGCAAGAAAACAAAACTGGTTTTGACCTTTTGTGCCTCACTTTAGTGGTTAGCGCTCTACAGCAACAAGCGGGGCCTTCATGTGGAGCGTTTGCATGTTCTTCCTGCACCTGCGTGGATTTCCTCCCAAAGTGTTCGAGTGTGTGCTTGTCATTCTCTTTTTGTTAGTCCAATAATTACATCTCCCAGATCAGGATAAAGAAAGAAAGGCATCTTAAATGGACTGGTGTTTATATAGCGCAACAGAGCAAGGAGCTAAAGGGTTTAGAGGAGCCTACGCAGGGGTTTGTGCGTGTATGTGTTGTTGTCATTTCTCCATCTAGACATCATAATACTTAAAGCCTTCAGGGCGCTGCATTAAACAGTACATATTATTATAGGGGGTGGCTACAAACACATTCTCCCTGTTGGGCATCCTCAAAGCTTTTATCTCTTCCTCTCAGCTTTCACCTTCCTGTCTGATCCTGCCTTGCTCCAACTCATCTCCTGGCACCTCCTCCACAATGTTGAGTAAAATCCTTTCTGCTCTGTGTACTCTGTTTGCCCAACCGCCACTAATGTGGCATCAACAAAGAGGCCACTGTGTCCTTTTGAAAGGACTGTAGGACTCATACAAATTGTAGAAATGGTGTTTGATGCTATTTGTCTTAAATTAAATGGTGACATTTAGCTGGTCTATGTTCCTACTCTCATTAATGGCCAAGAACTCTTGGTAGTGACCAAAAACATGAGACTGTGGATACAAATGCTGGAAATAACCTTTCTAAGAGGGTAGGGGGACTTTCACTTAGAGATGGGGTGAGAATCTCAATCATTCGGAGGGACTCACAACTGCTGCTCCTCCACATGGAAAGCAGCCACTGGTGTGGATATGTGACTAGGGAGCCCCCTAGGTGAGAGCTTTCAAGCATATCCAGCTGGGATAAGGCCCTCAGGCACACCCCTACACTGGAGAGATTCTCCTGGATGACCCAGGAACAGCTCAGTGCCCTATACTGGAAGAGCTAGGGAGAGAGAGATCTGGGTGTCTCTGTGTAGACTGCAGCCCTCTGTAACCCAGGCCTGGATAAATGTTTGTTTGACTTAGTAAAAGATATACCTGCAGTGTGTATCCACACAGCAGCAGAAAGGTCAAAGTGGATGTCAGTCGTTTAAAAGACGCAATGTAAACACCAGAAAGAACAATATGAAACCAAAATAAGTAAGTAAGTCATACTGGACTTTTTCTGTATTAAAACAAAATAACAGATCTAAAGAGTCTGTTCACATGTACAAATAAACCTTTAATAATTAACTGATACCCAAACCAAGTTAAAGCATCATTTACTTTTGTGACTGCATTAGTGTGTTATTCTGGTCCTGAATGCTGCTGTAACAACAGAAAATTGCAAGGATACATCATTTAGCAGAAAGAAAAATCATTTTAGTACTTGTTCAGATTTGTTTTCAACCATTTTATTTTAATTAATTTTATGTTTCTTTGTCATAACAGTCAGCTCGATGTTTCACTGAGTCACCAAACAAAAGCAAAAGTCTTAATTTGTCAGTGCCATCCAAAGCATACTATGCACCGAGACTTTCTGACCTGCAAAAAAATCTGGTTAAGTGTGCGTGCGTGTCTGTGTGTGACTGTGTGCTTTGGAAGGGGAGGGATTGCATGCGTGGCTCTGTGGGTCTCTGTGAAATTTCCCTACATGGTCTGAGCAGGAGGAGCTTGTCTCGTTAGGCATAAAAGCTCACAGCAGCTGCAGTTACTTTCAAAGCAGTGACTGTGACGTAGAATCTGAAAGATGTTTTATGTTCTTTATAGATATATATCATGTGGATAGTTTGTTTGGCCACAAAAATACTTTTTACAGACTTACTTTGGCGTATTGTTGTAATTAGATTGGATGATGTTTTGTGTTTTTTCTGATGTCAGTAGTTTTCTTTGTTATGTTAGGGCTGATGTGTTTATGTCTCATTTTTAAATGTGTTGTTCTGTAAAAAGTGTTTTTTCATCTTCCTTCCTGCATGAAACATGAAAGTTTCAATTGTTCTTTATGTAATCTTATTGGAATTCAACGCAATTCAATGTATTTATTTATTGATTATTATGTATTATGACAATGTACATATTGCAGATTTATGGTTTAATCTATTTTTAATTTCACGGTCATGCTATACACAAGGCTAAAATGTTTCGTTTATGCCAATCATACAAAAAAAATGTAAATTAAAACAGTTTTTTTTTTAAATTGCAGATTTCTCAGCACCTTTCTTGGCCTGTTGGTCACGTTTTACGACCTGGAGAAGAATGCGGACACTGTCGGGTTCATCCACAACAGGCACGTCCAACAGTTCCCCTGAACAAACTTTAAGAGCTGGAGGAAAATGGTTTAAAAAGTTCTGGCGAAGCCCCACAGATCAACCCAGCGACAACAGTCCTTCCACTACTGATGGACACCAATCACCTACTGAAGAAGAGCGGCCAGTTGGTAGGTGACATACATCCAGCTGTTATTAGCTATTTCCTGTTAACCCTCTGTATCTCAACTAAATTATGTTTTGTGTGACATATTAAAAAAAGAAAGGAAATTGATGTTATAGTTGTTCCACGAAATAGTGCTGATGTGTGAAAAACACCTCTGTTACAGAAATAAGGTTCTCCATTTCTTCCAGAAATGATAAATACTTGATTTTAGGAGAAATATGAACTGTTTGAAGATTATTTATCTTTGTTTTTGTCCACCAGTGACTCCTACTTTTGAGGAATGCCTTGAAGGACAATACCTGTTCGAAGCCGCTCAACTGTTGATAGACAGGGAGAAACATCTGTTTGGAGAGATAACAGAGGCTGATGCACTCAAAGATCACGAGGAAGCAGTAGAAAAGCTTGCTGCAGACTATGAAGCCCTTGAAAAGTGTATAAAGCGGACGGTGCAGCAGAGTCTTTCTCTCAGCAGTGAGGAAGAGGTGTCTGCTTTGATTTCAGCAGTGAAAGCCATCAACCTTGAGGAAGAGCAGGACCAGCTGTGGGGACAAATATGCCGGACGCCACCAGCCTGGAGGCCCAAGAAGTGGAAGAAAAAATTGTTGTTGAAGTAATGACATAGCATTGTTTTGAGGAGAACAAAATGTGCATCACATTTACTCTGTTATTCACTTTAAAACTTTCCAAAGAAGTGCCGACAAATATTTTCCAGCCTGCTGCACATATTAACCAAACTGAAAAAGACTTTGAGAAACTTTGAGGAAAAGATTAACAAACAAGGAAGACATTATTTTTGTTTGGGTCATTTATAGAAACTCATTTACTGTCGGATCAGAGTCACAGTTTCGAACCCTCCCATGGTTCTGTAGTTTAATCACTTGGGTTTGTCACTAACATTGTAAAGCACTGGGTTTGGTTCCTGGTGTTTAACTGGATCTGAAAATGATGGAAGTGCATTGCTGTGTAAAGTGCTTTGAGTACTTAAAACTGCCACTGATTTGTCAATCCATTTGTCTTCAGTTGATCAACGGCATCGTGACATCAGCACATATAACTGTAAGAGACCGACACAAGGCCCAGGAAATAACATCCAACCTGACAGACTTCATGCAGAGGTAACAAGGCTTCACAAGGCTGTCTTTTAAATATTGTCATTTGAAAATACATTTTAGTTTAATGTTTGGTAATAACAAGATAATAAAAGTGAAAGCTGTTCTTAATCTTCTGCAGGTATAAAGAGTTTCATGAAGACATCATAAGGCAGAACAAACGGCACAGCAAAGCTTTCATAAAGGCAAACCTCAGCTGTGTCGAACAGTTCAGGTATGTTTCTGATCCAGTTAGATGGAAATTCAGATTTTAACTTCATCATAAAAGGCGAATACGTCACTGTGAGCTAATGTGTCCTGTGTGGTCTGTCTAAAGGGACTTCTTTGAGAAGCACGATCTGTTCCCAGAGGATGTGCAGAAAAACTGTTTGCAGGTCCTGACTGAGATGAAACAGTCTGCCCACACTTATTTATTAACTCCTGTGCACAAGATCCTCAAAGTAAGTTCTTTACAACTGCAGATATCAATAATCCTCAGGATTAAATCCTAACATGTTTTAATCAAAGATTTTAAAACAATGTGTTATTTGTTCGTCACACAGCCACACTACCAGAAGGTGGGAACCAGTGACTGGCTGAAGAAGAACACGTTTGAGAAGCTGCTGAACAGCACTGAAGACGAGCTTCAAGAACTTCAGGGTTCGAGCAGTCCTCTTACCAGGTAAAAGGAGGAAACTTTGTTTTGGATTGAATGGCCATTATTGCCTTCATTGCCACCTTTTTAGTAAAAGGATTATGATGTGCTC